TTTAAACGTTCCTCATCACAAGTGCATCTCTTTGCATATGTAGTGGCTATACGCCACCACCATTGCCAAGAGTGTACAGCACTGGGATGCAAACTGCTGCACTCACCAAGTATTGTGCATTTAGTAAAGACCTTTTAAATATTACTTCCCAGTGTGTACCATAACCATAAGTAAGATTTCCTTGTGTTTTACAAATGATGCAAGCAATTAGCCATAAATAATACTATAGCCCTTCATAATGTGCATCAGTTCAGTGATGACTATTTGTCTAAACCAGCAAGTTATATTTAGGGTTGCCAGCAGTTCCTTGACAAATGCCAAGAGATTCTGAGAGTCTGAGGAGGATGGAGTTTCGGGAGGATATGACATCACTTCTGGGTAATGCTCTAGGAATTTCCCCTCCGTGGTAAAGACCACAGAGACATGGTAAAGACCACAGAGACATGGGGAAATTCCTAGAGCATCACTATGGAGGCCATTTTTTTCTCCCACACCAATTTCTAGTTATATTCCAAACCACCTCCTGGTGGCAATTCAGTTTAATGCTTCCCACTACTAATCCAGCAGTCTTTCGATTCTGATCCCTGACACATCAGTGATGACTATTTGTCTAAACCAGCAAGTTATATTTAGGGTTGCCAGCAGTTCCTTGACAAATGCCAAGAGATTCTGAGAGTGGTGCCTGAGGAGGATGGAGTTTCGGGAGGATATGACATCACTTCTGGGTAATGCTCTAGGAATTTCCCCTCCATGGTAAAGACCACAGAGACATGGTAAAGACCACAGAGACATGGGGAAATTCCTAGAGCATCACTATGGAGGCCATTTTTTTCTCCCACACCAATTTCTAGTTATATTCCAAACCACCTCCTGGTGGCAATTCAGTTTAATGCTTCCCACTACTAATCCAGCAGTCTTTCGATTCTGATGCCTGACACAAACTACATTGCACATACATTGTGAAAAGACAATACTCATCAATAAATTATAATTTATCTACATGTATCGACAGTAACACTTTGTATAACAATGCAAAGTAAAAATATGAAAGAAAAAATTCCTCACGACTCACTAATTTCTTAGTTTCCATTCCTTTCTCTCTATGTGAGTTAATAACTTCAGAATTTTACAATTGCAGGCTAATTAATAAAGGATGTATCATAACCACTTTTTCTTCTCTCCTTTTTTTTGCATATCCTTTGAAAATTATTACAGGAGATCGATACGTCTAGAAGTGGGTCTCTGAAAATTGGTGGAATAAACTCTCCTTGTATAAACATCAGGACAAAATTATCCAGTCATATCAGAGTACAAACACTGATGTCCATGTAATAAAGCTGATCTGTCGGCTATTTCAGAGCCAAATCATAAAAGACTGCATGAATTCATAAGAGGCTTCTGAAACTGGCCCTCTAAATGATAAGAGACAAGAGAGGTTATTTTGGATGCTAGTTAGCAATCAAGAAGTTATTTTGGATGCTAGTTAGCAATGCCTAGCTTTAAATGAGGAGAGCTGGGAAAGAATTGCACATAACCTTCATATTTCTACAACAGAAGGCTGTTATTAAAGGAAGAGTTGGCGGAATCATGGAAACCTCACTGCATGTGTTTTATACATAAAGTCTATTAAGTATAGAAATTAGCCCAACAGAGCCTGAATCAGTGAAATTCAAACTGAAATTTATCTCAAGTGTGTTGGTTATTTTTTTAAAAAAATAATGAATGAATGTTTAAACTTATGCTTACAGGCAGCAAACTACCTGAAATAACAGCAATTTGAGCAGCACCATAGGAGCACATACACACACGAGATTCAGTCCTTGAGATGGCCAACTCTTGTGCCATTTCAAGGACACAGTATCCACAGCATTACTAGATATTGTGCAATATTGTTGTGCTATAGCAATTATTGTTGTGCTAAAGCAATCATTCACAACTGGATTTTCTGTGTGGACAAAAGGATCCTATTGAGAATGACTACTATAGCACAACAACAATGGAATATCCAGGGCACAGCCAAAGGCACCTGTATGACACTAATGTCATATATCTGCAAGCCATATCTTTCAGTGACTTATATCGGGGGAAAGGAGAACATCTGTGAGCAAAAGAACAAATGGATCCAAATCAGTCCTTAAAACTGGAAAAATACAAATAAAAGGGAGAATTTTATTCTCTCTGTAGCTCTGTCCTCTGATCATAAAATTACTATATCAAAATAGCTAGATCCAAGTCCAGTGACACCTTAGAGACAAACAAGTTTCCGAGGGTATAAGCTTTCAAGACTCAAGGTTCCCTTCATCAGGTACAGCCTCTAAGGTTCTACTAAACTATAATCTAGCTGTTGTACTGTGGACCAACCAGTTTACCTTCTGAATGTATCTTTAAAAGATATTTTTCCAAGAACAATTGGGGCAATGGGCAGCAGAACTGGAATTCACTGACCAATGTGGCTGGCTTCTTCATTTGAACAGGGATTATCGGTGGTTCTCCAAAGAAATAGGTGACTAACTCCAGACTCTTGGTGGAGCTTCTAGACATTTACATGGCAGCCCACCATGATAAATACCCAACCACCTTTAAAACTCAGGAGAGTTTCAAAGATGGATTGTGACATCTTGTTTTTTCCCGAAACATTTCTATGCTGTTTTCAAAACACAGTTCTTAAGGCGGCTTACAAAACATCAAGCTATAAAATCCACAAAAAAATTAGAGTAGTAAACAAGAACTGGTCGCAGCAACATAACAAGCATTAAAGCTACAGCCCAGGAATGTTAAAACAATCCATCGAGAGGAAAGGAATGAAATACCTATTGCAAAAAATCCTGGGCAAACAGGAATGTCTTCTCCTGGTGTTTAGAACTCAACAGAACAGATAACAGTGAGCAGATGCAGCGAGGGAATTCCAGAATCAGGGAATACTTTGCCTCCTTACTTCAAATATGAAGAGGACACACAGCAGAGTTTCAGCTGAGGATCTTAACAGTTGGGTAGGTTCATAAGGGGGCAGGGAGTACTTAAGATACCCTTGTCCCAGTTAGTTCAGAACTTTATATATCCATATGTAGCCATCAAAGTGTCTTCAAGACTAGTAAGGTATGTTCCCAGTAACCTGTTCTAGTCATCAATTTCACAGCTACATTCTAGATCTGAAATTTCTGAACAAAGGAAGCCCTAAGTAAACTACACTCCAACAATCTAACCTGGATGTGACCGGAACATGGAAAATCACAGCCAGATTTTGCTTTTCCAGAAAGGGAGCGGCCAGTAACCCAACTGAAGTTTGTTAAAAGTGCCACATGCCACAATGAGATATGAGCATCTCCCTAGACATGGATCTAATAATGCCCCACAATACTGTATACTTGGTCTTTCAGAGAGAATGGAACCCCATTTAAGACAGACTGACAACTCAGTACCTGGCTGGCTATATTGTTGGCCAACAGCACCTCTACTTTGTCTAGATTCCATTCAATTCACATGGCAGGCAAAGCAGACTACACATTTTAAAAAATGTCACGAAAACTACTCAGAGAACAGAATTCCTGACGTGCTCATAAAACAGCAGATTGGATTGTGGCCATTGCCTTCCATTCACCTATGTACTACGTAATGATATAAAGGAAACAGAAGCTATCCCTAATACAGTGACAGAGACTGAGAAGAAGCCGCGACTTTTTTATAGTCTGCATAGACCACGGTATGTGCGGGAAAGCACTGTGTATATTTCTGTGAGTGTGTGTGAGAGGGAGAGCACCTTCTGATTTTTCAGATAACACTTTTTACTGGAGTTACAGATAAAAATGAATGGTTGGAAAGGCATATCAATCAATCATGTATTCACTGACTGAGCAAAAAAAACTGCTGGCAAAGAGATGAAGAATGAACAGATTGATATTGACAATGGTTTTGTTACATTGGCTGGAGGAATAGTCCAGAGGGGATCCTTCCTGATTCTTTTTCCCAGTGAGCCAATGTGGTTCTTCGGAGCTGGAGGTGGGGGCAGTGGTGGTGGCAAAAGAAACCTCTATATTTCTGTGGAATTTAGCTGTTTTCCGTTTCCCTCCGGCTCACAGATTTTTGTCTTAGCTCAGGAAGGATGGCTCCAGAGCAAACTAATTTATGCAGTAGCCAAATCGCTCGCTCACAGCTTTAATGCCAGTAGTTCACAAAGTGGAATTTTTGCTCACAAGACTCTGCAGTTTAGAGGGAGCATTGTATAATGTTTCCAACTCTCCAGAACTGCAAAAGTGTTTGAATGCCCTGCCTATGGCAGAGGGCACGCAATCCCTCCCATGCTCACACCCAGCAAAAGACACCGCTGCTTCGAAAACAACCAAGTAACGGTTGACTTCTCTTAGAGAAGATATAATCAAGAGCAAAGGTGAACGTTGAGGAACATTAGGTGATTCAGTGGAGACATTAAATGGCTAAGATCTCATGTGTGAAAAGCCTTGGATAAAGATCATTTGCAGGCACCCCATATTAAGCAGCATAATTTCAAAGTATGAGATTCTGCTTATGGGCTAAGTTAATTAAAATGATTCACATGACAAAAATTCAGGAGAGCGAGGTAAGTCTGAGATTAACCTTACGTACATTTTATCATGTGTATCTAACAGCCGTGTGGCAGGGCTAAATACTTCTCTTTTTTTCCAGCGGCATATTTTGACTGAATATTATATTCTCTTTAACAACCCAATCCACAATTCCGGGTAAGCCAAGTGCATGGATTTATGTCTCCCACTGACTTTTAACAAGGCTACCTCAGCTTTGTGCTCAAGTTCTTCCGCTTATTCGGATTATGGATCAATGTGGGTGGAGATGAAATTATAAGGCGCGGAGAAAGGCAGCTGTTTAATTTGCCCTGTTTTACAACTCGTCTTCCTTTTTGTCGCCATCACTCTGCCTGCCTCTGGTATAAAGACAGAACACAAAAGGAAGCACTTGGCTTTGCTGCTAAAAGACTGCTTTCTTTTATTCTTTTTATGAAAACTCACCAGGCACCATTCCTGTCAGCGTTGGAGCAGAGTAGCTGCCCTGTCCAGCAGGGGGGACGTGCGGAGGGTATCCAGGGAGGGTTGTGCTTGCCAAATCGCGACCTGAAGAATCAAAACCAACAAATCACCATGTGAGCATTCGCAACAACTAGACATGTTTTTACATTTCCCTTAACACTCAGAACACAGGCCACGCATTTGTCATAACTGTACTGCGAATACCAAAGTGGGATTTTTCCCCCCAGCCTTGGCTTTGGCAGATATGAGAAAGATTTCCCTTTTCCTTAGAAGCTGCCACATAATAAGCAATGGAACAGTGCCACAAAGCATCACAAGCCAGTTAGCAGGACTCTGAACACAAAGGTGTCTCCCCAATTTGTCAAATAAACTGATTGCACTTCAAATGGTGGTGGGGAAGGGGATTTCAGAGGCAGAAAATCTGAAGAGTGCTCTAGTAATTAGTTCTTTTCAAATATACACAAGAACTGTAGATGGGAATTTGAGACTTCGTTGCAAGGATAGATAAGTATGTGCGGAAATTTTGTAGATACTCGTTTTCAACAAAAGACATACAGATGACAGAACAGGTATTTTTCCATTTGGCCAACAGAGGCCAAATCATATCTGAGTGGTTCCACCTGTTCAGGCTGCTATCTGGTGCTTATTTGTGATTGCAGGAATCATCATTTTCTTAAATCACATTGATTCCAACATTTAAAAATGAGGTTAAATCAGGCTGTTCTGTAAGAAGAGTAGAAAATTAAAATGTAACAGCACAGCCCTGCTTGGCTTGTTTGCCATTCCCATTCAACAAGAACTTCCTTTACAATTTGACTAGGCTGACATCCAAATCATACTTTCTAGTTAAGTTAGGTCCTCCAAACCAAACATGACTTTGAAAAGTGGTGCTGGGGTGGGCCAACTTAAATTTGGTTTAGATATATGCAATGGAATATTAGTTGGGGTACCCCAGAAGAGTACACTGTAGATTTTAGAAGCTACTGGACAAAAATGGGCTAATAATTTTTGAATCGTTGGAATTAAGGGGATTCCAAAGGTCTTTTTCTCACATACCCCACAGAGCATATATTCTCCTACTATTTTTATAAGGTCTGTCATTGCTTATTTGCTAGGAAAGAACAAAATAAAATTAAAGCTTATCATGACTCATAATAACACAATTTCAGCAGTTCTCAATACTGCCAAAAAGGTTTCTTCATATAAATAAACTTATTCTTATTAAATAGTGTGTTGTTTCTAGGAAGAGAACTTCTGGGATTCAAATGCATTCTGAAGTGACATCTTTTGACCTAGCACTCCATGACTGTGTGGAACCCTCTGTAGTCACTCAGTGGTGAGAGAAATGGACTATGCTCCATCTTGGGTGCATGTCAGTCTATTTCAGGGATCAATAAGGAGTGGCACAGATTCAGAACTTTTAGAACTATGCAGAATCAGCGAAACATGAGATGAGAAGATTTGTATTTGAAATAGAGGTATGATGGAGATACTCACTGAATAGTGAAATACAAGTGGGGACCAATGTTCCCTCTAAGCTGTTGAGTCTTGTGAGCAAAAATTCTACTTTGTGAGCTACTGGCATTAAAGTTGTGAATGAGCAATTTGGCTGCTGCATAAATCAGTTTGCTCTGGAGCCATCCTTCCTGAGCTAAAAGTGTGTGAGCCGGAGGCTAAAAAACTGTGAGCTAGCTCACACTGACTCAGCTTAGAGAGAACACTGGTGAGGACCCACAAAGACTAGCAGGGATCACTTCATTTTCCACAGCATCTCCCACAATGGCCATCAGAGGGCATTCTTTTCTTACATGTACACATAATGCTTTTCTTAGTTTTGAGGAATTCTACCCTCCCTGATATCTTCTTTCTCTTTTCTTTTTTCAGATTTCAGATTTTTTTCTGCAAACCTGGGGCTTTTCTGTCTTGTCTGTTCATGGCCCCAATCTCCAGATTTAAGTATCCACAGATGAGGCCATGTTGAGAATTACCTATATTGAACTCAGCACACACTCAGTGGATAAAGACTGAGAAGGTCACCAAAATGTAAGCAGCACAAAGTAAATAAAACAAGCAACTTTATGACTGGAAAGAAGGAAAAACTCTAAAATTTGTGATTCTTAAAGCCAACCCCCACCACCACCCTCACCTGGGCATTCTATTTCTCTTTGGTGGTATTCAGAAATTTTAGGAGCAAATGGGAGGCATTTGGAAATTTAAGAAGTTCGTTTTCATCAGTTATAATGGTTTCAGAGAGAAAAGGAGTTGTTACTCATTATCCAATTTGCGCATAAAAACCCAGGTTCATCCTTCAGCCCATTAACAGTATAATCACAAGCCAAGTTACACACTTCTAAACCCATTGAAGTTAATGGGTTTAGAAGAGTGAAACTCTTAGGACTGGACTGCAAAAGAGTGGCACACATCAAAGAGGAATCCGATAGGAATATTGCCTCACTACTGGCCCCCCATATCCTTCCATCCATGAAACGAAATACTGTAATTATTTATTGAAAGGAAGGCAACCCTGAACGTAAGAAGACCTCCAAAAATTGTTACACAACCCCCCCCCCCAATAAGAAAAAATACTGGAAATGACTGTAACCTTTATGCAAATGTATACAAGTTTTTGATGGCATACATGTACAAAATCCTAAGCCTGAACTGGAGCACATATTGTACTTGTGATGAGCTTCCAGAAAGAAAATAACAGAGGGGCACTGTAATAGCAACACAAAGGGAGAAATGGGTTTGCAAAAAAATGCCAATCAAGCTCAAATAAAACATGTCACTTCCTGAGAATGTGTTTTCTCCCTTGTTTACACAGATAATAAATATACATCTATAAATAAAGTCCCTTTGTCTATAATGCTGTTCTTGTCTGCAATCCCAAGAACACTTTCCTAGGAGAAAGCCCTACTGAATAAAATGGGACTAACTTCCAAGTACACGATTAGGATTGCTTCCATTTTGTCCTCTTTGGTTGTTTTTCCCCCCTACTAGTGGCTTAGAGGGCATTTGATAATAATGTTGCATACTTGGTAGACAGTAGTGGAGTAAAAGTTAAGGATCACTGCTGTGATCTGTTAAAATCTACAGAAAATAAATTTGTCGGAGGCTTTTGGCAAATATTATCAAATTATAAGATATAATAGCATAGATCCAGGTGGTCAGCCGTGTTGGTATGAAACAGTAGAACAAATCTGAAAAAGTGTGCATGCACACAAAAGCTCATACCTTGAAGAAAACTTTGTTGGTCTTAAAGGTGCCACTGGACTCTATATATCATTATTATGCATAGGGTCCAAAAAATGACGAGTTCTAATTTTTAATGACCGTTCATTAGTCTACATATATGAAATATGCTTGCCAACTGGCCTGGAGGAAAAAATGTCCTGTAGCTTTAATAGAGGCTTGAAGTGTGGAAATGCTCAAACTTTTCATTGCATGGAAGTAAATAACACCACCTGGTAAATAACTCCCCATTAAGCCTCCATTAAAAGGACAGGACAGGAGCTGCGGTAGCTCAAGTGGTTAAGATGCTGAACTGCAGGCTGTGGAAGGTCGGTAGTTCAGCAGTTCGAGACCCGAGTGTGCCACATGACGGAGTGAGCTCCCGTCTCTATTTCCTGCTCCTGCCAACCTAGCAGTTCGAAAGCAAGAAATTGCAAATAGATAAATAGGTACCACTTCAGTGGGAAGGTAACAGCGTTCCGTGCACCTTGGTGTTTAGTCATGCCGGCCACATGACCATGGAAATGTCTTCGGACAGCGCTGGCTCTTTGGCTTTGAACCCTAGAGTCGGATTCGACTGGCTTTCGAGCAAGGGAACCTTTACCTTTACTTTTACCAAAAGGACAGGACATTTGTCTCCAGGCCATTTAGCAATCCTAATATGAAACAATGTTAGCCAAGGGTCAATCTATACTTTCAGAAAGAACGTATGGTATCTCTTTCCTAGGATTGTCCCATTTCAGAACACAGGAGAGAAGCTCCATGTTAGCATAGTACAGTCAACATGAGCAATGCTCCTCCACATCAAAGTTCATTCATCACAGAAACCTGACATGTTTGGAAGATGGGCTCTAGTTTAACCCGCACATTGACATGTGAAAGGATGCTTTTGGTGGGAGGGGTAATATTGGGATGTTTTAAATATTGTAATGATTTTGTTTTGTTTAAGCTGCTAATTGCCTCCAACTGTGGGAAGAGAAAAAACAAACATTAACTAAATATTTTTTTAATTTATGGGGACAAGCCATGGCTTAGAGATATAGCACCTCCTTGCTGTACAGAACGTCCTGGGGTTCAATCCTCAGCATCTGCTGTTTAAAAAGGATCAAGTCGGGTTCCCCAACATGGTGCCTGTGGGCATCATAAAACCTTTCCTGGAACCTGCCAACTGTTTGTATAAAATGGGCAGGGGTCACGTAGGGCTTTTGCTCAGTAGGGCTTCTGATTGGCTATTGGGGATCTGACTGGAAGTGCAGATTTATTTATTTTTTTAAGTTGTGACCATAGGAGATCTGACTGGCTAATCAGATTTTATTTTTTTTAATTGATTCAGCAGCAGTGCCACCACAGCACAAAGATCCTAGCATCAGTCATGCAGGAAAGCTCTGTGTATGCAAAAAAAAAAATAATGCTAATAATATGTTCACATCAAAAGGCATTCTGTGAAACAGGACTTCTGCCTGAAATGCTGAAGAGTTGCTGTTAGAGTTCTGCATGACCACACTGCCTGACATGCTGTAGCTGACTCTGCCTCTTGTGGCAGCTTTTTGTCGTTGGCTCTGCCTCCTGCAGTGGCCACTTTGTGGTCGCATTCACCACCACCTTTGTGGTTGCATTCACCACCACCATGAAGGTGCCCACAGGCTCCAAAGGGTTGAGGACCCCTGTAGTAGGTGATGTGAAAGATCCAGCCCCGTAGCCAGAAGTTTTTATTCAGGTGAGCCTTTAAATAAGTCAGGGGCACACTGCACACACTCAAAGACACATATATACCCTGAGTGAGCAGCCCCGCCCCTGCCCTACCCTGCGACTCACGCACGCTGGCTGGCCCCTGCCCCAGCTGGTCTTCACAC